GGTGTGAGAGAGGCCCATTTGAGGAGCATAAGGAGCTGTAAGGCAGGGGGGCAGACTCTACTCAGAGGCCCGGATCTAGTGGTGTCCCTCAGGGGTCGTTACTGGATCCGGCCCTGTTCAATTTAGAATCATGTAATGGTTTCGGTTGGAAAAGACCTTTAAGATCATCAAGTCTAACCCTTGAACCAGCCCTAAATCTGCCATTTGACCATGTCCCTAAGCAGGACATCTACTTGTCTTTTAAGCACCTCCGGGAATGGTGACTCACCTCTCTGGGCAGCCCCTTCCAGTGCTTGACAACCCTTACAGTAAAGAAATTCCTCCAATATCCAACCTAAACCTCCCCTGGTGCAACTTGAGACCATTACTCCTTGTCCTATCGCTAGCTAGCAGGGAGAAGAGACTGACACCACCTCACTACACCCTTTTTTCAGGTAGTTGTAGAGAGCGATACGGTCTCTCCTCCGTCTCCTCCAGACTAAACAACCCCAGCTCCCTCAGCCACTCCTCATAATTCTTGTGCTCCAGACCCTTCACCAGCTTCATTGCCCTTCTCTGGACACACTCCAGCCTCTCAATGTCCTCTTTTGTAGTGAGGGGCCCAAAACTGAACACAGGATTCAAGGTGCAGCCTCACCAGTGCCGAGTACAGGGGAAAGATCCTATCTATTCCTCAGCCTATATTAACCAGTAACCTGGACAATGGAACTGAGTGTACTCTCAGCAAATTTGATGATGCAAATCTGGGTGGGAGGAGTGGCTGACACACCAGAAGGCTGTGCCACCATTCTGCATGACCCAGACAGGCTGGAAGGTTGGGCGGGGAGAAACGTAATGAAATTCAACAAGGGCAAATGTAGGGTACTGCATCTGGGGAAGAACAACCCCATGCATCAGTGCAAGATGGGGGCTGACCTGCTGGAGAGCAGCTCAGGGAAAGAAGGACCTGGCAGTCCTGGCAGACAGCAGGCTGACCACAAGCCAGCAATGTACCCTCATGGCCAAGAAGGCTGATGGCATCCTGGGGTGCATTAAGAAGAGGGCGGCCAGTAGGTCGAGAGGTTCTCCTCCCACTCTACTCTGCCCTGGTAATGCCACATCTGGAATACTATGTCCAATTCTGGGCTCCCCAGTTCAAGAAGGGCAAGGAACAACTGGAGAGACCAGCGTAGAGCCATTGAGACAATGAGGGGACTGAAGCATTTCCCATATAGGGAAAGGCTGGGAGAGTCTGGTCTGTTTAGCCTGGAGAAGAGGAGACTGAGGGGGGAACTCATTGATGCTTATCAATATCTAAAGGGTGGGTGCCAGGAGGATGGGACCAGACTCTTCTTGGTTGTGCCCAGCAACAGGACAAAGAGCACTGGTCACAGACTGGAACACAGGAGGTTCAGCTTAAACATAAGGAAAAACTTCCTTACTGTGAGGTTACCGGAGCCCTGGACCAGTCTGCCCAGAGAGGCTGTGGAGTCTCCTTCTCTGGAGACATTCAAACCCTCCTGGATCCTGCTCTAGCAGGGAGGCTGGACCAGATGATCTTCAGAGGTCCCTTCCAACCCCCACCATCCTGTGACTCTGTGGTTTTGTGTCACCTTCTATCCTTTCCCTGATGGCACTTCTCCTCTGGAGGCACCCTTTGCTCAGCAGGATCAGCACAGCAGCCCAGCTGCTGAGGATATGAGGCCTCACCTTGCAATCTCAGGTCTGCATTTGCCTCAGCCATCTCTCCCCTACAGACACCCACTGCAATCTCATCCTTCAAGGTGTGAGGTTCAGGTTTTCATTGGTTTGGGCTTCTTTTATCTTTTTTTTTTCCCTCCCATAGAATCACTTGGTTGGAAAAGACCTTTAAAATCATCAAGTCCAACCACAACCTGCCCACTACTAAACCATATCTCTAACCACGTCTTTTATTTGTTTTAAAACAGTACTGAAAATACCATGCCTCATTTCCAGGCCTTCACTACCACCCTGCAACACACGCTCAGAATTGACATTAACCATCCTCTTCGGCACCATAACTTCATTAATTGGATTATTCGGCAATCCCATAACCTGCAACCACTCAGGGGCGTAGGAGTTCAGAGGGGAGAGGCTGTGCAAGCCTTGTTTGGAAAGTCGCCTATCACTGATGTGTTTAACTCCAGCATTTCCTGTTGATTTGCAATCCACCTTTAGATCCAGATCCCATTAAAAGAGTTTTCATGCTGAGCCACCCCTCACTGCTGAGGAGAGCTGCTGGTACCATCCTTTAGAGAGCAGCAGGAAATACTGGAGTTTCCCTGTAAACCTCAGTTTTTAACCAAGAAATTGCTAGAAAAGACATGCTGAACTCTCCAGCTTTTATTTTTCACTCAAAACAACAATCTTTTATTAAAATAAACCCAGATCCAGAGAGAGAGAGAGGGCAGCAACAGCTTCTGCCCACTGCATAGAGACACAGCTCAACAAAGGAGGGACCACATCATCTCTACTTCCAAACCCTTCTGCTTTCAAGTTACCTTGCAGATCATGAGCTTTATGCAATTCCTGTCACAAACACAGTACTTTTTAATATTTTTTAAAATTATTTTTACACTGAGATCTGGAATCGGCAGTTTGCCACTAAACTGAAAACTGTGGGGGCAGAGACGAGCTCCACCAAGCACTGCTGAGGTTTATTTTCACCCCTCGGAAGGAGGCAGTGGTTCCTGCAAGAGCTGACAGAGGGAACAGCCGCTCGCTTTTAACCACACCTAATCACTAATACACATAGGTACCCAGCTACAAGCAGAGGCAGGATTATCTAATATTGAATTAATCAAGCTGTTTTAGGCAGAGGGATACACTCCTTTCTGCTAACTCCACTGTAAACCATTACACCTGCTCCAAGGTTACTTCAGACCACAGTAATCACCTGCTTGACACCCTACGCTTTCCATTCACTGTAATCTGAAGAGGGTGACCAAGACAACGCAGAATTGGTCAAGCTATTTACATCATTGTGTCACTGTGACCAAAAAAAAATATATAAAATATATAGATACATACAACCACTTTCCTTTTTGCATCTAGAGGCACCCAGCACTGCAGTGACTCCTGTAACCTCCACTAAGCACTGAATTCTACCAACTCGCTGCCCCTAAGGGACACACTCAACAGACTCAGAAACCATGAAATCCTTCTCAGGACAACTGGTTCAGAGACCACCTAGACAGCTTCCAGGAAAGGTGGAACACAAAAGTCCAGATCACTCGGTGCCTAGGGAAGGATTTCCATCCCCTGACAGCACCACAGGCTGGCACTGAGGACACCACCACGTAAGTCTCTTAAAGCCACCTGAGGGTCCAAGAGTTTCCTTCATCACTGCATGCCCCAGGGGACATTGCTCCTTCTGGTAGATCTGAGGGTGCAGCCCTTTGCCACGCAGCTTGCTGTGCAGCCAGTCAGAGCTGAACTGCACAGCACAGTCAAGTAGACGCTCCAGATCCGAGAGAGCCAAGAGAGAGCCTGGTGTCAATGGATGGATCTTGGCCAGGTACAAGATCTCATTCTTAATGATGTTCCCTGGAAAGGGTCAGAAATAAGGAGACAATAAGGACATTTCTTATCAAAACGATGCAGACCTATGGCTCTAATCACTCTGCCTCTGATCGCAGCTAGCAACACCATTCTCCATATCAGAGGTGGCATATGAGGTGCAGACTTCTACCTGGGAGTAGAAGATAGTCTCTTCCTACTACCCCTGAAGTAGACCTTCCTTTCTTCCAAAGGTCCAAGCCAATCCATAGTCACACACACAAAGACAGTTCACCATGCTTATATGGTCCATCTGAAGCCTGTGGCTACAGACTGAAAGCCTTGTCCTTGGTGAGATGACCACATGCCCTCAGCTGGATGGACCAGAAGATCCATAAAGTTAAGGAGTAAAAGGCTCAGACACACAGCTCTGGATCTGTAGATGTCCCACCCACCATCCTCCATTTCTCGCTCTACCACTGTGCCCTGAAACTCACCCAGCCCTGAAAAATATCTTTGGTCTAAGAGGGTGTAGCAGATGGGATCGGCTGCACGGAGGGCATCCAGTGCTTGGCCACGGTGGAACTCCACAGACAGGATGTCAGAAGCAGGATCAGCCCTCGGAGAGGAGCACCAGTGCATTCGGCAGTTGTAGAAAACAAGGAAGCCTCCGCTCTCAAAGTGCAGCACCAGCCTGGGAGAAGCAGAGAAATTAAAGCCTCCTGCCAGAAACATCCCCAAACCATTTGTTATTTTCTGCTCTGACTGAAGAAACTTGCACAGAAAGAGGAGAAAGATTCAGTAGCATAGAAACAGAGTGAAGAACAGGTGAGAAAAGAGCCCGTACAAGACATAAGCTTAGGGTGAAGCACACACCTACTCGTTCTCATCAGAGCCTGGGAGACACCTTGAAGTACCAATCCCCCCACTGGTACACTTCCAGTGGGACCTAGGACACAGACTGCTGCCTGTGCTTTCAACTCATTGCTGCCTTTAACAGCATCACCCCAACCAGTGATTCCAGCTGCCCTACATCTAGCTATTATCTAAGGCTTTTTTAAAACATGAAATTGGGAGAAACTGGCATTTTCAGGGCATGATTCAATCTGGCATCTTGGAAGTTCTCTTTCTTAGAATAAAAATCTTAAGTGAGCTGGTACTATGATCTCCAGCCTGGCAGCAAACATGCATCCTACAAGCACACTGTGGATTCCCTGATCAAACACACCCCACACCCACTCATGCCATTACTCGGTGCCTACTTATCTTAAGAATTACCAGAGAAAAATATAGGGCTAAGAGCATCCCCAGACAAATTTAGTTTGAGACAAAAGAGTTTGAGACAGGGAGAAAGCAGAGTCTGTGGGGACTCCACCAAATAAATACCTGGGTACAGGGTCCTTCCAGTCCCCCCTCTTATTGGCTTTGTTGGCTCTGGAGAATTCATTTGCCCGAATGCTGCCAAACAAGCCGAAGTGGAAGCGCAGCCAGTTGCCTGGACCTTCTGCTGCATCTGGAGCTTCAGACCTGGAGCACAGGAGTTCCTGCAGCTCCCCCTCCTCCTGGAGATGTATCTGTGGAGCACAAACCTGTTCTTGCCCACCCTGGGCAGGAGAACTTGCCTCGCTGGCAGTCTCTCTTTGCAGCAATGCCTCTTCTTCAGTTGGTCCTAAGGGATCTTCAGCTGCCACAAATGCCAGGTACAAGTTTTTCCCATGAACCTGAGAAAAAAGGTGGGATATACTGAGTATCTACATAACCTCTGGCTGTTTCCATAGAGGTGACTACTTTCTACAGCCTCTTTTAGATAGAGGGCACATCACGCCACCCTGAACATGGGATTCATTATCACCTGAGCCATTCCCACCAGAGCTGCAGCCATCCTCTCAGCATCCCTTCTACATCTACATGAAGCACAAGGTATTCAGATTCCACTCCAGTGTGAAGCTCTCTCAGAAACTCCAGCCAAGAAAAAGAGGCATCCCAGGGCAGACACTCAGGGTTTTCAAAGTCATCACTGCGTCTCCTTCACCCCACCACTTTGTGCTGGCCTCAAGTGTCTCAGGTTAGGGTGACCTAACCCAAGGGCGGCTCTGAAGCCACAGCTTAGCCACAAATGACTGTGGAGCAGCTCACATCTGTATTCCAAGCTGAGACTATCATGTAATCAGAGGTGAAGCTACACCAGCATTTAGTCAGCCAGGTCCAAATCATCATCTGAGGGAGGTCAGGCAAGTGAAGCCCCCAGCAGGACTGACCCAGTGTGACTACCTCAGAAGTGCCCACAACATGGACATTTCAACCCAGCTGGGTGAAACACTGTCCTTGGGTGTAAGGGAAGCAAATATGCGAGTGCTAAGCTGAGGGAAACAAGGCTGCTGCTCCTGACATCCACATACTGAAGAAACCAACTCTCAACTACAAACAGCCCTCACCAACACCAACTCCTCATCCCTCAAGAGGCACAGATCCAGTGCATTAGGATGAATGACTCAAAAGTGCAAATAATTCTGGGCATCTCAGTGTCTAGCCACATCCCTGCAACAGCCTTTCCTCACAGTAACCTTGATCCCAAAACTTTGCAACACAAAGCAGTACTCCAAAATGGGCATCAACATCTCTTCGGCCACCTGCACCTTTTTTGTGGCTATAAACAAAGCCAATGGTCCACCTCAAACATAAGCTTAGTGTTGTTCTCAGGTCACCTTCTGGGACCATATGCAAGACAATGCTGGTTTGCCACAGACTTGTGGCAAATAAGTTCATCTTTAGCACGGCTCACCTGGGAGTCCTGAAGCCTCAGGGCATTCAGATCATTCACGTTGATCTTCCGGCTGCTGCCCCCCACCTTGGCCACCACTTGTCCCACAAAAGGGGAGGTCAGCAGCTGGAACTTCCTCACTGATGGGCCTTCTGGCATCTCCAGCAGCTGTTGAGGGAAGAGCAGGTCCTTCACACACCTGGTGTCCTAGACTTGGAGGGAAGTTGACACAAAACCAGTCAGAGGCTGAGCTCACCCCCATTTTCCTCCTCCAGTCCCTGTGGCAAAGTCCATGCAGAGAAACAGGTTTCTTTCAGGCCCAGGGAGGTGAGGGAATTTCCATCCTTGGGGATATGCATAATTCAATCAAATGAGGCCTTAAGCAACCTGCCCAAAATGGTAGTTTTCACCCCACAAGCAGAAATTTGGCCCGGAATTCTCCATAAATCCTTTCCTACCACAGGTTCTCCAGGAGTCACAGAGAACCTTAAATAAGACTGTTTAGCATCTCTCTCCTCACCAAGAACAAGAGCTCACCTAACTCCAACCATTCCCTCAGTCACAGCCTTGATGTCCCAGTACAAAGGAGGAACGCAATCTTACAGACATTAATGAACCAAGAGCAGTGCAGACCATAGTGAGTCATCCTTTTCCTGATGCAGCCACCAAGGCAAGCACTGCTTCCTGATCAGCTCTGGGTTTAGCTCATCCCCTCCCCTTGCTTTACCAGCTTGCCCCACAGACTGCAATGGCATGGGTCCAGTTAGGGACCATTCACACACTCTACTAGCAGCATTTGGGATCAGAAGACTCTGAGTGAGGGGGAGATGAAGCGGCACCACCCCAAAGCATCCTGCAGCTACCTCCAGGAAGCCACACCAGTACATAAGGGTTTATTTCTGGCATGAAATCCCAACCACATGTCACTTTGCAGCCCTTCTGAGGATTTCTGGCAGGATTGGGTGTACAAGAAAGCAGGGTCCAGGACATGGAAAGCACAGTTTGGCTTTCATCCCACAGTACCAGTTCCTCCTGCAGACTAATCCCAGAGACCAGCAATGACCAGAGGCTCAGCTTCAAACTCCACAGCAGCTGGTACAAGACCTGGCACAGCTCTGAGAGAGCTGGATGTGAACATCAACAGCAATCTTGTGCATGGGCTCCCACCAGAAGAGGCCCTTTGGGTCTTCCTCCTGACTCTCCAGGCATTTGCTTCATGAAAGACAGCACAGAATGAGCCCCAGGACCGCTCCCGCAGCCCAGAGCTCAGACCCCAAGAAAGGCCACAAGAACCAGCATCTGCTGTCTCTCATCTCTTTCTTCTCTCCATGGATATATCCACTTCACCTTTTTGCTCCAGACCTACTTCAGTCCTTTCCAAAACACTCCACTCTCCAAGGAAGGAGAGGAGGATAGCAAGCCCCAGCCCTCTGCAGGGCATGACACCCATCTCCCCAAGGGCATCGCCACTGCACCCCAGGGCCTGTCCCAGCAAGGTACCTGAGCTGGTACCACTACAGGCCTGCAGCAGGGAGCCAGGCCTCCAGGACAAATCCTCCCCATACAGGGGCTCATTTCCAGTCCTTGTGCTCAGACAGGAGCCAAGCACCCACACCAGGACATAACAAGGACAAGGCTGCCAGGTTCATCTGCCTCAGCCCAGCTTTACCTGCATACCCATGCTGCCAGCTCACCGGGCCCAGGAATCGCAGTCCCACACCCTGCTGCAGAGGAAGCCCCACCATGGTTCCACATCCCTGCACAAAGCTCCTGCAGGGACTTCAAGGCACAACCTTGACCCTCCACATGCAATTAGAAGCTCACCATCTTCTCACACTCATCCAAGCATCAAACTGCAGCTCTTCAAAACAACTAAGAGCAGTTTCCATTCTGCTCTGTGTTTCCCCAGGGCTGTGGAGGCAGTCTACCCACACCAGAGCACTGGGGAAGGAGGAGTCACCCGATACCTTCATGTGCATAGTGCAGAGCCCCAAAGTGAGCACCCATAGCATGTCCCCTGAGCTCCACATTCCTATGTCCAGCCCTCAGGCCACTCACTGCCCTTCCCAGGCCCACCCTGTGCACACATCTTCCTCCCTTACTTCATTTCCCCCATGCTCCAGAGCCCTTCCTCTGCCCCCAGTCCCCCTTCCAACACCTCACAGCACCTCCACCCTCTCCCTAACCACCCTACCCACCCTCAATACCACCCTCTACACCCAAAACCTTTCCAGCCACCAAATACCAGAGGAGCTCCTCAATTGGCTGACGGAGGAGGAACAAGCAGGATTTCAAGTGCTGGCCACACTCACCCCACCAGTAGCACTCAGAGACTGGCTGGACTGGGAAGTAAGCTGGGTGCTTGCAGGAGGCCTGTGCTTCTGGAGAGGATGAAGGAAACTGAGCACAGCCCTTGCTGACAACCTGATTTTGGCTTGAGGGTGGTGTCTCTGAGCTCAGCTGGAAACATTTAGACTGAGCAACAGCCCCTGCTCTGTGAAACCACCTTAGTGAGCAGACCAGGGAGATAAGGCTATGGATTAAGGTGCTCTATGAAGCTTTTCCCCTCTCTGCTGTGTTAGGGGGGTATCACCTACTGCATGGATTGGGTGATTTCTCCCCTTTGTATTAAAATCATAGAATGGTTTGGGTTGGAAGAGACATCAAAGATCATCCAGTTCCAACCCCACTCCCATGTGCAGGGATACCTTCTGCTAGACCAGCTTGCACAAAGCCTCATGCAACGTGGCCTTGAATTTCTGGGTCTATCGCTTCTGCCTGTGTTGGCCATCCCAGCTCCTGCCTGCAAGAAGGGGCTCTGTGTGACTGCTGGGCTTAGAGACAACATTCAGGCCCCTGCAGTGACTCATTGCTTGGGAGTCCCCAAGTCTGAGAAATTAATTTACCAATGATTGTGTTTCTCATTAGAATCTAATGTTTATTTGGGAAAACATTTCCACCGTGGGTGATCAAACACTGGAACAGGAGCATGGAGAGGTTGTAGGATTTCCACCCTTGGTGTTACTCAACACCTGACTGAACAGAGCCCTGAGAAATCTGATCCAATCCCTTCTTATTTAAATTACTCTGTAATTCTATCACTATGACCTCCCTAGGACAGGACCCATTGCTTCTCCAGGTGCACTTCATATGTGAGTGATCATCACACCCTCTCCAAGAAGCCCACAAGGGTAGTCAGAATCAAGCAGCAGTCTTCTGGTTTTATTATCATTGTTTTATTTCCATTAGTTCTAAAGGTGTAGAAGTTACGTGGATTGGTAGCCATACTACTTCATAATATATATTTTTTTACATCTTTAAATAATTACAGCTTGTTCAGTTGGTTGATTTCCCTCTCCCCCTTACAAATAAGTGTCTGTTTCCATGGGACCTTCTCAGAGAACCTGGGAAGCTTCAAACATTTTACATGGGGAGAACAAAAGCAAAACAAAACACCACTTCTGACATAGTCACAGCTTCAATGTGCTATTAAGAGGTTTTGATCAGTTTTAAAGCTCCCTTACAATGTTCCTGAGCTCCTCCTGATTGCACCCTCTCCAGGCAGCCCACAAAATTGCAAGTGAAATACGGATTTCTTCTGATCAATTTACAAAAGAACTGAAGCGATTTGAGATATCTGACTTCCACAAAGAGAAAAGGCTTTTAAAAATGGTAAAATGACCTTTCTACCTCTCTGGCTCCCCGTCCTGGTTCTCATCTGCTCATTTTACTCTGGTGACCACTGAGCCATCGCAAAGGTCTGGCTTGGCACAACCAAAGCTTGTGCTGCAAACCCTTCGACATCAAAATTTGCATGTGTGATTAGTGATGACCTCTGAGAGAATAAATCCCACAAATCCATTTATATACGTGCTTGGGTGTTTTACAGGACTGGGCCCTTCGCTCTTACTCCTCAGGTCAGGAATGGTTCTTGGTCCTGCATTTGTATAGGACCTGGTTTGGTATGGTCCTCACTAGGTTCTCCAGCCACGCTGCAATGAAATTAATTACAGCAATAATAACAGCAATAATTATCTTACCTAATAATTGTATCTAATGATTTTGCCTCTCATTAGAGTCTAACATCTATTTGGAAAAACATTTCTACTGTAGGGTGGTCAATAGCTCTACAACAGTTTTGGGTGATTGAAAAGAACAACAGAACCTGGTGTGTCTGGACTTCTACTGCTTGTAGTGCAAAAAGGAGGACAAAAGAGCCAATTTCTACCACTAAAGAGAGCCAAGTTGTCCTCACATCCTCCAAAGCCTCACCTTCTTAATGCAGGCATCTTATTCTGTTATCATGGCCCTTGTAAATCCTTCTTGTTGTGTTTCAAGAATTATTTTTAAGGCTTTAGGAAAAGGCAGAGAACCAGTTAACAAATCTCTGTTTAGATAACCAGAGGGAGCATAAAGCAGGGAACTACCAGGATTATAACCTACAAGTGTTTTCCTCCCTTGTATTTTCAGAAGACTCCTTTATGGCACCTTGGAGTGTGTTTTAAGAGTAGGGAAAAAAAACTCAGCCAAGGAGTTTGGCTTTGAGAGCAGTAGGAGGAGCGCAATAGTAACCAAGGTGGACAGAGCCTCTGGGAGCATCCATATGGAAAGAGAGATGCTGTGTGTGTGTTTGGTATGGACTTCAGCACATCTCCGGGAGGCCACATGCTCCCCTCCCTCTCAGGTTGCCCAGGGTTTCCCAAATGTGTGCATCAGCCAAAGGGCATCTTTGTGGTGCACGCTTCTCTGTCACAGACAGATCCCACGAGAGCTCAATTGCCATTTACAAGGGAATAAGTTCAAGGAGGAGGCTGGCTAAAGACCTGCATTCCCATGGAGAAACGCCTGTTTTCACCCCAAATTCATGTTTTTAGGTACTATTTCTGGCCTCTTCTCTGCAGCTTACCAGGGCTGAGCAGAATCACAGCATTTCATTTCTTTTTATTAATGTTTCATGAATGTCTTTTCCTTGTTAATGAGGCTAGACCCTGCATTAGCTCAGCCAGACAGACTGCAAACTGGTGCAAGCATCATCCAGCCATTACCATGGCATCACTGCCATGGTGTTTGGTTTTGGGGAGTGCAGAGGCTCTGTCACCCCTCCAAAACCGTAGAAATCTGAGTTACACAGGGCACAGGGAATGTGGAAGGGTCCAGGTCTCTACTGTGACTCCAGTCCCAGTCTTCATCATGACCAGTCCAGTTGAATCCTTCTCCTTAAAGAAGTTCTTCCATCACGGTGAGTTGAAACAAAGACAATTCATTTGCTGCAGACACGTGTGTGGCTTTTTCTTTGCCAAGCCACGCATCTTGGTGTTTAGGTGGAAACACTCTTTGTGGGAACGTTAAACATTGGGAGACTGAGTATGGCACATTTTGCGGGATGCATAATTCCTCTTCTAGATTTTCACTTGGTCGTTCTGTAACTGAGTCCTGGATGCAGGAAGGAAAGAGAGGAGCTGAGAAGGCAAGAAGAGTTTGGGAGTGGACAGAAATGAGAGTGAAGAATCCTGTAGGATGAGGTCTCCCAGATATTCTCTGCCTGGACAGGCAAATCTTCCCCCCCTTGAAAATGGTTATGAAAATGTCATGGCAAGCATCTGGTGAAGGAGCTGTGGCATCTGCGATGCTGGAGTTTCTTAAGCACATGCTAGAGGAAGAACAGTCAGGGCTAGGTTAGGTAGCTTTGATCTCTTTTGAACAAGGGAGTGAGTCAGGGAGCTCTCAGTATCTCTTCCAACTCAATTTTCTGGGATTTCCTGGTTGCTGAGAGCGTTATGGGCCAGAAAAACACCCACAAGTCTTGTTTAATACTCGTGCGTGAATGGAGTTATGCTTCTCCTGCAGGCAAGCAAGTCTGTGCACGTGCTTGGTGAAGAAAACGGCCCCTGCCTACCTCCATTAGAGGCTGAAGCCTCTGCTTGTCGTGAAAGGTGAAATCCTAAAAGTTTAGGCGTGTGAAATGGTCATGAGCCAGCTGTTAGGGGAAAAGTGGGCACTCACAGTACAGCCAAAAAGAAATTACAATCAGATTTCGTCAATGACATCAAAACCAACAGAAAAGTACGCAAAATAATTAAATTAGGTGTCTTGAAAGTGACAGCACAGCAGCATTAGAAGAGTATCTTGCTGTGCTCTTGAATAATTTCTAAGCCTGGCTTGTAGCTATCCATAAGGGAAGAGCCCAGCGATCTCCTCCAGGATTCGATAACCAATGTGGGTCTCCTCTACCTGCTTCCAGAAGGTTCTTCCTTCCAAAATACCCCTTTGACTTTGGACAGACCTTCTCCAGGCTCAGCCAGCAACCTTTTAGAAACACAGTCCCATGATTTTTCTAATGATAAATAGAAAAGGAGTTACTATTAAATAGGAACATTCATTAGGTTTTCAGACCACCTAGGAAAATAAAGACAACGCTCTAGATGAGGGAGCTGAGGATGTGTGTGTGGGAGGGTCTCTCCTTTTTCTCTACTCTAGATCATATCAAATCCACTAAAGCCACCACAGCATGTCTAGTGAAGTCTGTTCAACAAACTGTTCTGGAACTGGCTCCGTTTGGTGGGAGATCACTGAATTTGGATAATGAGAGGACGGTGTCATTGTCTTCTGCTCAGGAGAAGAACAAATGGTGATATAAGAAGAAACGTGTCTCTGCTCCACCGTTGTCTGAGTCATTTAAATGCCAGATGTTTTTAAATAAACAAGACTCAAGAACTGTGTCCATCTTTGTGTTTCTGGCCATTTCATAGTAGGTGGTGATGATCAAATAGAGAGGCTCATTTAAAGTGGGGGAAAAAGGCTTCAAGTCCTTTAGTTATTTAAACATTTGAGTCTTCTCTGTTCATTTCATAAGAGCTCTCCAACACCTCAGATAAGTCCTCTTTACCTCTTTGCTGGAACATCTCACAAGGGGAGAGAAGGCAGGAGAGCTGAGGAGGTGGGGAACGACATTGTCGTGATGATTCTATGGCATCTGCTTCGTCTCTCGAGTGGATCAACCCAAAGTCCATGGGTGGAAGACCAGCTTAGGCAGTTATGATGTCCCCATGGTTCTCAGCTAACACCATGCTGTTCCAGGAGTCCTGTTTGGAGCTGGCTTGTGGAGACTGGCTGATAGCTGACTGGTATGTCTGCGGAGAAAGCTTCAGAGCTGAAATCGCAGGGTGGATAGATGACCCATGTCCAGACATGGCAGAGACTGAGAATGCCTGTGGAAAAAGGGAAATCCTGTGAACAAAGCTTCAGACCATAGAGGACCATATGAATCCCTTTATGGGATCTGGTGCTATGGTAATAACATGGCTGTGGATTTGCTGTAGAGCTCCTGATTGCAGCTCACGCAGGGTACTGCGGAGAGGCTCTTTCCTTCTTGTTTCAGACCCTGTCCTTTCGTATTACTGCATATGGGGCATCTTGTTCCTTTCTAAATATCAGAAATGACCATTTTACCTCCCAAGGCTTGAGACTTCATTGGCCTTGAGCTCTTCTAGCTTACAAATAGCCTCCTGTGAGTTGCAGAGCAGGTAACAGCACCACAAAGTGCTGCAGATGCAGGATCAGTCCAGCACAACACTCAACCACATATTTTTTCCCCAGGGAGAAAACTGGAATTCCCTGTATGAGCCCAAAAGGAGAGGATCTATCATATACCTCTGCCTCTTAGTCATGCTGTGTGATGGGGATCCTTAACCAAGGCATAGCTATTGACCCTGTGGCCATTCACACAGATCAGCTTCCAGATCTGGGTCTTGCTCAGCAGGATCCACACCCTGTGTGGATGCAGTGCTGGTTCCAAGACACCTATTGGTGGGTATAGCACAGAGCACCCCACTTTACCCTGCAGGTCTCTGCCATCATGCTGGCTTGCTTTATTTTGCAGGGACTCGACTCAGTTAGATTTGGGCTGTGGGAGCTCATTCTCCTCATTTCTCATATTACTCAACACACAGCCAGCCAGTGCAGAGAAAGTAGGGTAATATTGCCAAGTTCTCCCTTCTCAAGACAAACCAAATCATATCATTAAAAAGAGAATGGGCATTTTCTTGCTATGGGACCTATATAGCTACTCAGCTAGAGTGGATTTCATGTTTTCTACAAAGCTGCTACTTCTCCATTCAGAATTGCCACACATCATTAAAAAGCTGTATTTACTGTAGATATGGTGACAAGAATGTGGGTTTTTGCCCCATCCCAGAGGTTAGATCTCATAAATCCCAGACCCCTGGGTTGAAAATAGGCAGCCTTTTTCCACAGAGATTTTGAGGATGCTCTTCCCACCAGGTCTACCATTCTAGTTCCCATCTTTGTCCCACTGCCAGCATCTCCCCTCTGTACCTGAGAAATTGGGCTGGGGTGCCCGTAATGAGATGAGAGCCCAGGTTCTGTTTTTATGGGGCGCATTTCCTCAGTGGTGGTGGCGCTGCTGCTGCTGCTGCTGGTGGAGCTGGTGGTGGGGGTCAGACTCTCGCTGCTGGATGGACCTGTGAGAAAGCAGACAGTGAACCAGGCTCTTTCAGTACAGAGCTGTACCCATCCACCCCCAGTTAGTATAGGTAAAAATAAAATAATAAGTAGTGGGAAGGGCTTTGTTACTGCTGAAAAAGCATTCAGACATCCCCCACTTTTGAGGAATCAGCCCATTTTGTGGTTGGATGTCTGAGACACAGGGCAAGATGGTCAGAGACACAGGGCATGATGGTCAGAAACACAAGTGCACACAGGTATACACTTTCGATAAACTCCCTGTTCAACACTTACCTGCTGACGTCTTTGTTTTGTTAAGGTTCTTAGGCTTGCGCTTTCTTGTCTGAATGCCCTCTTTTCTCATCGCTAAAGGCCTTGGAACCTACAGAGCCAAATATAAGAGCACATTATTTTCTCTATGGCCATAAGGTCATCTAGGAGAACATGATGCCAGCTCTGAGTCAGTGATCAGCACTGATGTATGAAGAGAGATGTCAAAGCTACGAGATGTGCATCCAAATGGGGAAAGGGTTTTCACATCAGGTACAGAGTGGGAAGAGAAGGACTGGAGATTTGCGTCTTAAAGTCCTGCTGTGCCTTAGACTCCAACAGGACTCTTCCAGATATATCAGAGATGACATAGATACAGGAAGCCCCCAGTGACAGGAAAAGATTATTTGGACATCTGTGTAGGAAAAGTAATCTATTGCTCCCATGACAAGTCTAGAAACAAGTTTTAGCTGGGATCTGACACCTCATGTGGAAGGGCCAAGCCCTTCACTGTGCTTCAGATTCATTTTTTTCACTAAAGTGAAAGCCTCAATTTAGGTGGGAAGAATCTGGGTCTAGTTTTATTGAGTTTTAAGTCTTGGATGTAACGGGTAGCAAATTGGTATGTGAGAAATGCCCTGCATGCATCACCCCTTGCCAGTGTAAGCATGTTGTAAAGTTGAAGGGGACTAAAGACTGGAGGAAAAACAGCTCCAGGAGAGCACCAAGTTGTGTAGCAGACCCAGCCCTCAGTTTGGTGCTGTCGATACCCTCCCCACAGAGAGCAGAGATCAGTGAAGCTGTTACCCCATGGAGCTTCATGTAGAGTCCGCAGGCGTTACAGACCGGCTCTCCCTCGGCGTTTCTGCGCCAGAGGGTGGTTGTCGTCGTTTGGCAATTGGCACAAGAGAGGCCGACACGGCGGGAAGCCGACTGTGAGAAAATGCAGAGGAAGAAAATATGTCAGACCTCAACTGCTGTCACCCGTAGTGTCTCAGATCCCAACAAGCTTGCTTCAGCACGCCACAGGTTTTCCTCTCCTCTTGCCTCTTATTTCTCTGCCTCTTCTCGCCTTGCTGCAGTGGATAACACAGCTGCCTCTTTCTTCCCCTCTTGTCTTTCAGCTTCTGCTCCACTGCCTCCTGCCTGCCAGTGCTGTGCAGACATCTCAGCTGTCCTGGGACATCTCAGATGATGCCAGAGACATCTCCTGAACAGGGCCTCAGACCTCCAGCAGGTCTAGGAGCAGCTTAGCTTAGAGACCCACTGCACATGCACACACCTGCACTAATGTGTCTGGGTCTCAGACCATCCTGCCCTTTCAGGCTCCCAAGCCCTTCACCTTCCAAGCATCATGGCATATCCCAAGAAGACATTATCAGTGCCATGAATGTTACATACTCCTTGCTGGCTTTGCTTGATGTTTCTCGTGTGGCTTGAGGGGGAGATAAGAAAAAGAGTGCTTCCAGCAGCATCGTCTTCCTAAAGACAAAGAGGGATAATTAATAGGAATCACCACTAATGAAGCAGTGCAGGGAACAGGCCTTTTGAAGTTCCCCTTCTGGGTGAACTGGTTTAGCCAGGCTCAAAAGGCCACAGGAGGAAGACAATGGGTTTGAAACCATATAAAATACCAGTTTTGAGCTTGGAAGCAGAATGGGAGGTGAGGGTAGAAAAAGCCACATCCTTCAAGCCTGCCTGTTTCTTTCCAGCATCATTCAAAGCTCAGGTCTTAGGACTGAGGATAAAATCTGGATGGGCTGAGGTCAAATTCACTCTTTGCTCGCTGATAAACTGGGGACTGAAGTGCTAGAGCTGTGTGAAAATGCCTGTTCTTGCTGTGCCTGATAAGGAGCCTAGAGAGGAAATCTGGTGGTCTCGGACATCTACCCAGCTCTGCAGACCCAAACAGCATAGCTGGCAGCTGGGTAATGGGGTGCCAGCCTGGGAGATGAGGACCTGCCAGTCACCAGGGATTTCCTCTGTGATCTTTGCCATAGCTTTCTCTCCATGTTTTCTCCCTCATTATAGAGCAGGATCAGTTAATCTATGGCAGCAGGACTATTAAAATTGAAATTCAAGTACTTCTTAAGATTTCAAAAGCTAGAAACCTCTTTCATGCAGAGAAGCCAAACACTTGCTTTAATTGTAACATCAACATGCATTAGATTCAATTATCAGCCTTTGTAAGTGGACCAAGAACTTAAAAGAGAGCTTACAACAAAGGCAAAGATCCCTGACATACTTCAGTCTCCCTAAAGAGGGGTCACGCAGTGACAGATAAAACCCAGTCACTTGTACTGAACGTATTTATTTAGGTAGACCAACTGGCATTACTTTAACCACACCCCTACATTGCATCCCTAGATATATCCTCCTTTTCTTCAAGGAAATTCTTCTTCCAGAAGAAAAAGCAAGAATTTGGCCATTTTTGTACGATTTCCAGATTGCCATCTGCCCAGCCAAGTGGCAGCAAGGCATGTACAGATCTGCATGGCTCACGCATTTATATTTCTCATGGGGCTTTCCAAGCCTTACTCCAAGGCTGCGCGTTGCTGCTTGCTCCAAAGGACCAAGCCTGGTACCCATTGAAACATTCCTGACTACACAGAGGTTCCCAAGGGTAATCTGTAGAGCAGTAAATGAAAGAGGACAAGGTTCTGGGTGCCAGGGTGCAGACACTGCCTGGCTCGGCCAGTGCAGTGTCTAGGAAGGGGTTTTCACAAGAGGGCGCTGGGCGGCTGTGGCTGGTGGCAGCACTGACAGTGTCATTTTTGGCACTTGCAGGGGACGGCTGGGTTTGAACACAAACAGGTCTGAGGGATGCGAAGGGCAGGGCAGGCTGGGGATGGAGCCTCATGGGAGTGGGGAAACGTGGCCCTCCGGGGTGGCTTGCTGGCTCCTTTCTGCCTGGGGTCATGATGGACCCATGTCCTTGGGGCACAGACTGCAGAGACCTTCCCAAATGCCCTCACCAAAACAGGCAGGGGTAGGCAAGATGTCAACACCGAGATGTTCCCAAGCATACCCCATCCTGACCCCACAAGGCTTGATCTGCCCTCTTCTGCTCTGCTTCAGCTTGCCCAAAGGAGCAGGGTATCCAGAAAAGGTGGCCAGTCACCATGAAGTAACTGAGGAATAAGGACCTTGAAGATAAGAGAAGATGTGGAGCTGGAAAGGGTTTCCATTGGTTCTAACATGCATACAGGGGTACTAAAGCAAAGACTAGCTTTTGCTACATCAACACGATGGTATTGCCCCTGTGTCCTCCAACCTCTTCCACCCCCTGGCGTGGATATCTGCATAGCTGGTCTGGACAGTACATCATCTTGAAGCCTACCAAGCAGAAGTCAGTCTGGCTTATTTTGGAAATCTGGATCAAAACCACCTAGGCTGGACTTTACAGAGACCCAAGGAGTTGAAACACCCCTGGCACCTCCACCTAGCCAAGATCTTTTTGCCTCATCCTTGCACACAGCCTTGCCCCACATGCGTTGCGTGATCTTGACTTACCAGCCTCCTCTGAGGTTTGAACAAGGGTCGGTTGATGCCGTTCATCTTGTGGTAGAGCCCGCAGGCGTTGCAGAGGTAGTGCCCCGTGCCGTCTCTCCTCCAGAGCGGGGTGGACATGGCCCCACAGTTGACACATTCTCGCCCCTCTGAATAATCATCAAAAAATTCTGCTGCCATGATAGGAGAGAAAGGAAAAGAGGTTAATTAACTGGTGAATTAGGCAGCTGTACATTTAATTTCTGGTCTGGCTCTTAATATTTGAGACCAGAAGTGACATTTCAAGAAAACACAAACATTCGGATTTTATAGGGTGCAAGAAACAGCTCCTTCTTTCTTAAGGAAGCCCCTGGGGTTATTGGGAGGAGGAACCCCTTTCCCTGGCATACAGTGTTGGCTGCAGGACTTCTGTGGCAGCAGGGATGTGCTGAGACACGGATACAAGGTGACAGAAATAGAAACCTCTCCTTCTGCGCTGACGTTATCCAGTTTTCAAGACTGGACGTAGCCAGGGCAAACAGATCGGGGCAGGCAAACAGTCGTGTTTACAACCAAGACCACGGACTCACGCAAGCCTGGACCCACAAAGCAGAGCTGCCTCGAGATCAGAAAGCATCCTGAGCATCTCTCAACGGGGATCAAGCAAGTGTAGGCAGGGAAAGCCATGCTTGTATGCCCTGCTGTCTCTCACGCTGCCCATGCCAACCCCTCTACAGAGGGGAATGGCTGCAGAGAGCCAAGGGGGTGAGACATTCACCTCATCCTCTTGCACAGGAAGCATCTCCTGAATGGCAAGAATCCACATGAACAGCCTCAGCTCAGGCCGTCAGCTAACAGACATCATTGGGCATTCAGAGCTGTCAGAGACTTGGCTTTTGATGCAAATCTCCATCGTGCTTGATGCCACTCAAGGTGACCCACCATGTGACAGGTTCACCCTTCACCAGGGCCTGGCTGCAGCTGTGATGTGAGGGTGAGGACAACAGCCCTGGGTTGGGCCAGTTCAATCCCTCTGGCTGCAGCAGGCCCATATCGTCTGCAAGGCAGTGCAGAGGTCAACACAGCACACCTTGACTGCATCGTCATGGGGAAAGGCGCAGGCCAGCTCACCCTTGGATGCAATGCACCCAAGAAGCCAAGAACATCACCTAATAAAATGTAAGCCTTGCTGAGATGTAAATACAGCTGCATCCAAATGACATGGCCCTTGAAAGTGCGTGTTGGTGATGGTCATCACACCTGGAGAGTACCAGATATTGAGTTCAGCTTGGGGATGTATTTCTTCTGTTACAAAACCATTCCTTCCTGCACATGGACATGTTCTGTTGTGGGCACCAGAAAGGGGACACTAAATGGTAAAATAATGGAGGAGAAGAAGAAAATGACAGTGAAGGTCTCCATTACTTAGCATAGTCTGGGAATAAACCAGGCTGCTGGGAAAATTCCCAACAAGCTGCAGCACACAGATGTTCGGAAGATGGCAAGAGCTTTGCATGGGGATCTTCAGCCATTACAGACCAGCACAACATGAACTCTTAAAATGTTATTGTGCATCTTGCTGTATTTTGTGCTTGTGCACCTGCTTGTTTATACGAGTATCTCAGCTTTCTGCTGGAAGACAATCATTTCCCAAACAGCAAACCACCAAAATTTGGCTTCTTGCTGATATCTCTCTATCCCACGTGGATGCTCTGGTATCTAATAAAGGTTATGTTCGAACGTCAGCCTTATTTTCTCTTTTCTCCAGACTATTTTTGGAAAATCCGTAGGGAACTACATAACCATGAAGCAGTCAAAGGATTAAAAAATTACTAAAGTTGCGCCAGTAAACAGAGACAGAGAGAAAAAAGATTCACATGAGACTGATTCTCCATAGAGAACCAGGCTAAAAATGGCAAGAGATTACACCATGTGGCCATGCGGAAATACTAGAAAACAGAAAATAAGCGTACCCAAGAGTATCTGGAGCCAGAAAAGAAGGAATAGAGTATTTTTTCAGCAGCTTAGGAAAATCTCTTTGCTTTTGAGCAATTCTGGTGGTTTAGGAAAGATGGGAATCCCTCCAGGTGATTTTTGTACACGTGGATTCCGTGATAACGTAACCATAATGCTTCACTTTCTCCTTTAAAATCACCATTGAGCCACAGCCAAAATCGACATCAAATAAACTTCCTTTGAAAAGAGGAGGGATTGGAACAGCTGGTCAGGAAAGAACTCATTTCCTTGAAAAATCTCAAGAAAAGAAAACATTTCGCTGTTTTTTTCATCTTAGAAGTTGTTGAAGTTTTTCGTTATCCAAAGAAAAAGCCAAATTATTTTCACAGTAATTTTTGTCCTGTGAGAAAATCCCTTCTTCTTTGAAAATAGTTCAGTACAAACTTGTTGATGTAATCCAGGGAGAATTTAGCAGAGGTAGTCCAAAGTTAATACTCTTGATCTGAGTTGTGTCTGTGACTAATTACAAAACATCATCTTTCCTAGAGATTTTTTCCTACCAAAAGACCAAAATCTGAAAGTTTTGAATCAAAGAAAATGGAGAAAATTCCTAACAGTCCCTCAGAAATGTTAAGAGTTGGAGTTACTCTTCAATAAGAAGGTCCCTCAAAATGGGAATGATAAGAAGAAATGTCAATTATGGGTATACCTATGTTTTTAGGGAAAAAAAAACAACCAGTAGAGGATGTGGAGTTGAAACCAAGCAAACTGTCTGATTTTCTCATAGTAATTTAATTTGCTACTGAATATTGGGTGTTATTTCCTAAGAGTTTGTATGACACCTTTCTCCTCCATCCACATTATTTTCACTGTTGGTTTGTAATCAGACATCCACAACACCAGTACAAAGCAGTCTTGAGACCTGCTCTCCTATTTCACCCGTATTTATCTGAGCTATGTTTTTCACCACTTGCTTGGTGCTTTGGGTTTTGAGGGGTTTTTTTTAAGTTTCCATGGGATTTGGAATACAGCTTCTTTTTTGAGGGCCTTTCACTGGATTAAGTTTCCAAAAGTCCTCTTCTGCTTCCGTAGTAATAGCATTTGTGTGGTTTTTCCCCCTCTCAACTGTATACAAAGGTGATCCTTGTGAACGTTAATAAACAGGAATCACTGGTGCTCGAGACGGGGAAGGAGCAAGCAGAGTCTTAGGGACTTTGTTCCCAGGGCACATTGAGGCTCCACGCGATGGGTGGCTCTCCCTAATCACAGCCCTCGTGGGGCGATATCAGATAGGTGTGTCCCTTCCATGCACCACCCAGTGCTGAGTCAGAAGATGACATCTGCAGAGTGCAGCCTCGTTAAAAACCATTCCTGGAGCCCCGTCACGGCAAAGTGAACTCCTTGACATCGAGAGATCCCACCTGGAGGAGAAATATCCTCTCTTGCTTCAATGTATGCTTGATGATGGCAAAGGATCTGTGTTGGACACTACTGGATACTGGCTCAGAGAAGATGATGTACGCTTAATGTAACTCATTTAGTGAACAAAGAGTGCTTTGGCACCAATGAAGGAATGGAAGGCAAGGGAGTGTATTTCTTTCTAAAAGAGATGCTATAATTTCACAGCATCACTAAGCTCAGGGATGAAGTGGCCAAGGGGAGTTTCCTGAGCCACACAGCTAGGACATCCCAGCTGCTCTTCAAAACCTGAAAGTCTACAAAATAATGAGAAAGTATCACCTGAAGAGCTGCGGCCCGTGCAGTTTGATGTGGGTGGATGTCCCAGACCTAGGAAATCAAAACTTTCTCAGGGCTTAGAGCCCACAGGAACTGTGATCCTTCTCAATCCCTCTCAGTCTAAGCTATATTGGGCATGGAGGTCACTGGGCTTCAAGTGCACTAATTGTTTAATTTGCCATTGTTATTAATAATGGGGATTAAGGAGGTTCCCCGGGAAAAAGCATCGAAGTGTTTTCTTGGCTTCTGTCTCGGGGCTGGAGCTCTAAATCCTGGTATTATGAGATCCCCTGACACTTACTCCTTGTACTTAGCAGCCGGGAAAGGAAACGTTTATTCAGGCAGTAAATTGCCCGAGCGGCTCCTGGAGGGCCCTGAACAATGCAGGGGGAAGGAAAGGCTCCCCCAGTCACACTCAGGGCAATAATTTCCGTTTCGTGGCACAGGAGCCGCTGCCTGATAATGGAGATTTATGGGTCCATCCGGTGACCTCTGTAATAGCCTTTCTGCTGGAAAGATTTACTCTCTCTCCCAAAGCCAGGTATGGCCAGCACTGGGACAGGGTTGAGGGAAGGTTAACGTTTGCTGGTTGGACTGAGAAGGACACCGGCCCATGGCTGGAGTAGCCTCACGTGTGCTGAATGGCCTCACCTTCCTTGTTGAACACACAGCTCTCCTAAGTGCCTTTGCCCAGCCCTTATCTTGGATAGTATCAGTATTGGGATCATTCAGTCTTTTTTATGGGTTAGGTCCCTGATGTTGACTAATGCTAATGGCCTTCTACTTAATTCTTCCTAAGGCCCTACCTTTAGTCCATGAAGGAGCTTCTCACATGAAAGCAGGTCGTGAAATCTCACTGAATGACCAGTGGAGAAGATGGATTGGGTCCTGTCCCTATCCTGATCATCAGCTTGATGTGTAAAATGAGGCCTTTTTCCCCTCACACCTATAGTTTATGAGGACCACAAGGTCCCCAGGACAGGAAATGTCACTTGTGTGTTGCACAACAGTCTCCTAATCTTGGGTGAGGCACTGAGCACACTAATGTCAGAAATTCTTTCCACAATGGGACATTCAGTCCCCAGGGAGCCAGGAGTAACTCCTAAGTGGCATGGTGGGGTCTGGTAGGGAAAAAGCCTGCTTGGATATGGCCCTTCATGGCTCGTAGTCATTGGGAGTGGTCCCTCACATCCACCACCAGGTCTACAGAGGTCAACTAGTACAGACAATGCAGGGCTCAATCAGAAAGCAGATGTAAGCACCACCAGCCGCTCCACACCAACAAGCACCTCTTCCAGCATGGCAGGACATGACAGCATCTCTGACCAAGGACATGGCCCACCCAGAGTCTGAGTACTTTTTGCCTGAGCCAGGAGAATCAGAGACCCTCTCACAACCAAGTCAGATGGGGATCAGAGGGAGGTTACACAGGGCTTGAGTCTGAAGAGCGGCTTGAACGGCCTTCTCTGGGTCTTACCACCACCTCTGCAGACACCAGCTCTGCCAGC